AACGTCTTTTTTTTTTCCAAAGATGGAGGTCACAGTGGCCTGGTGTAAATTACAGTTTGTAAGTCTGAGCTAATTGTTCACACTTACTCCCTCTGCCCTTAATATATACCCTGTGCAAACCTGATCCTTGCCAGGACGTAGGTACAGAAATGTCAGGAGAGCATATGCTGCTTACACATATGAATGAGCAATGGCTGGAATGTGGAGCGTGCGTCATACACGTGCTGCAAACTCATGCATGGCAGGCGTCCCCATGTTATTTTTGGGGAAAAACACCCCAAGCCTTCACAGCAGTAAAATATCAAACTGGACTTGGGAGTTTTGGAGATATCTTGTCTAGAATGGCTCAAGATTGATGAACATGGTACCGTGATCTCCAGATAAGGTTCAGTGATAGCAGTCTTCCACAAAATGCAGCATAGCCCAGTGCATGGCTTACAGCCCAAGAAAGTTGGAATAAGACTCTGCGACTCAAACATTTCCACTTGTGCTCTTGTTTATAATTTTTGATGCCAGCAGCCATAAATTTACGAGGTGCTCTGTCTGGGCCTTTAATGGTTAGGAAATATGAAGAACTGAACTGAACTAAATTGAAAAGACTCAGGCTAAAACAGCGGGGAGGGGGAGGAAAACTCCTTTTAACCTGTGTCCAGTAGAAGAAGATCAGGTATGGCAGGGTAGTTAACATCTCAGCAGGACGATCAGAGGACCAAGAGCTGGCGAAAACTAAGTGCACAACTAAGTAGAAAGCAGGCTTTCTTTACACTGATAACTTATCACATGAAACTAGAAAAAAAAAAAAAGGCAAGTATTACCTCTTTTTGCTGATTAGAGACTGTTTGGATGTTTTGGGCTATGATAATTTTTTTAAAGATGTTTTTCTCTAGTAGCTATGAGACTGACATCCAAGTGCTGTGGAACTTGCGGTCCTCCTGTCCTTTACAGGCTTTGGGTCAGAACGCGCTAAAAGCTTGGTCTAGGCATCTCTGAACTGGAGGCTCGCTGTTCAGAAGCAGACAGCTAACGAAGCTGGGGTAGCAAACAGACTTGTCTGTGATAATTTCGTAATGCTAGCCAGCTTTTCATATTTGTGTATGCAGAGAAAATAACACTGACCACAGTTTGAGCTCAAGAGAGAAAGCAAAAGGAAGACTTTACTTTCTCCAGCCTGTCTAATCTTCACCTTTTGCCCCTTTATCTATGTCTATACAAAGTATGAATTTTTATCACATCTCTTACAGACTCATTGTATCGTGTCTGCAGACATGCTAAAAATGTGAAAGTTGCAGTAGCAGCAACTTATCCATTGCTATTTCATTGCTATGTCTTCCAAATTTTAGATGCCTCTATACTTTGAAACTTACTCATGATGCTTTAAGGCCTTTTTCAACTGAACTTGAAATAAAAAAGAAATACAGGTTATTTTTTTATATAAAAGCCACTTAAAAGAATCCAACATCAACGGAACAGCAATTGTATGAAAGAAATTGGCAGATTATTAAATACTATCTATTTTCACAGTTGATTAGCACTATGTTATATAGTGCAGGTGTTTGTTACACCTGTGTGCAAAAATCCCCAGGCTTCCGTGTCAGCCTTTGGACTGATATTGTCACTACCATGGTGCAGTGGCCTAATGTTAATATACTGAAGTGTAATATTAGGCAATGTTAAGCATACGGGGAATTCTGTCATCTTCAAAACTAGTGGAATTGTTTTCTTTCTACAGTAGTTCTGTCCATTGTGTTTCTTTGTTTTCAGTTTGCGAAGGGTAACCATTGCTGCAGCTCATACCCTTAATTTCCAATAGACTTCTTAGCAGTTTTGGTGCTGGGCAAATCCAATGACCAGTCATCACTAAAATTGAAATGAAAATAAGAAAGGTGTTACATGGGCTTATTTTGAGCATTAATGATAGGTAAAGTTGCTAAGAGGTTCTTTCAGTGACTAGGAAAAGTGCATTCAGGTATTTGGTTATTAAAATACCTCATATACATATAATACATATAATATTATTGAACTTCATAAAGTAGCTGTGGTAATAATCCACTGCGCAAAGAAAGAAATGTTCAAACACTTTAAATACTACTATTTTTTACAAAAGTCTTTCCCTTAAGTAACTAAGTCTCACTGAACTCTTAAAAGGTGTCTGAATATCTAAGATTATTTCCAGTTTACAGAGGAAGAGGCAGGGATCACAGATTCCCTGCTGTGAAGAAGTTAGTGGAAGAGCTTTCTGAGCCCAGAAAGCAGTCAATGTTAGCTTTCTTTCATTTATTCCTCTTCTTTAGCCACCACACAGCAGTTCTCTCTTCCAGTTCACTTCAGCTTCAGACAGAACTGCTAACACATACTGATGAGTTTTTAATGAAGCATTTTTATAGTTTTCTTTCTACATTTGAAAAGTGTCTGGCATTTTTGTATGTCATGGCATAATATTAAATCAATAAGACTTTACAGATGATACTTGATAATAGGATCTTGCCTCACAGAGCTTAAAATTTTTATTAGTGTTTATAGTATTGGTTTGAGGTATTTCACATAACGTTTCCCTGGGCAACTGTTAGGAGGGATTTAAATTTTTAACATATGTGGCTGTGCACACTAATATAACACATGATTTTACCATTACTATCTGTATGTCCTTTTTTTTTAATCATTTCCTTATACAAAATAATGTTCCTTTTGGAGAGGATCCTTGTAGCTGACAGGCTTTGCCTATGAAATCCCCCAGAGGAGGAGTCCAAGCTGGATGGGTGGCAACGTCTAATAAACTTTTAACCTTTTTTTGTGCAGGGGTTGTGGGGGACAGAGGGGAAGCTCACCGTGAAATCCTGCAGGGATGTTTCATCCGATATAAATGGCTTTTCAAACCTGGCCATTTTACAGACATGCAAACACCTCTCCTGGAAGTTTGTGTCTACCGGGAGCTTCTGCAGATGGGAAACTGTCAGGAGGGTTTAGTTTAGGTTTCTAACAGAGATGAACGGAAGAAGGCAAAGGGGTTCAAACATGATTGCTCTCTGCTGGAACTGATGTGATGTTCTTTGCTTTGGTATTCTTTTCTTTGTTTAGCTTCTGTCCTGTATATTATACTTTCCATTAAATAGGGATCCCTAAACTCTGTCTTTTTTTTTTTTTATTATTATTATTACCTATCCTGTTTCCTATTTTAAAATCATTTAACCTTCTCAATCCACTCAGTGAATATGCTATGAACAATAACACATGGTGGTCACCTCTTGGTAATGTCTGTTATGTAAAGAAGAGATACAAGAGATTTCTTATCCATGTTTTAGGGCCATGCATGGACACAGTTCACCTTTCACTCACAGTAACATGCTGCTCTCAGAAGATGACAAATGTACCTAGGAACTTTTTTCTTTTATTAACCTGTGGTAACCAGAGTACAAGTTCCTGAATTAGCTTATCAGCACTGACTATGTGTTGATTTATAAATGACTGTGGGAGAATGCCTTTGGAAACTTTTGAAAACTTCAGCTGTGATTGACTCTAAAAGACATCTTTGGCAGCTAAAAATAAAGAGAAGACCTTTTATATTCTTTGTTTAGTGAACAGATGCAATTTTGAAAGGCTGTTTAGTGTGTTAGATATTCAGAACTTGCTATGTGCTTTACCTAATTATCCCTCATACTTCCCATTTAAAGGATGGAGAAACTGTGGTTGGCAAAAGAAGTAATTCCCTGGGAGCACTAAAGAAGCTCTTGATCCTTTGAGTAGGGCAGCAGTCTGGCTGTTTTCCAACCAGCTGGCTGACTTTACGTGTTGATTTCTATAAGAGGTACAACTCAAGTGCAGACTGACCTATGTGTGGTCAGTCTATGACAGTCATTTGTCCAAGGTAGCCTTTTCTTTGTATATCAGAGGCAGCCTTTCTCTATCAAGGTGATCCATGCAGATTTGCTTCTTGTTCATGTGGAATATAGTTGACTTGAGAAGTTCTGGGTGTATTCTTTCTTTTTAATTCTGTTTTTATTTTTCTAACCAACATGAAAAATGTGCAACAATTCAAACCTGCACCTAGGGGAATCCTATTCCCAGTCACAATGTTTCTTCTTTGTCCAATGTTGTCTTCCTGAAAGAAATGAAGGTCTTTGCAAAAGCAAAACTTAAACAAACTGTTCAAGTTATGAATACTAGTCACTGGTTTTGAGACCTTTACTGGCAGGCAAACAAAGCAAAGAACTAAGTCTTTCTATCAAACGTCGTATTTTGGAATTTGTGTGACTAGATGATAGTAAAACATCAAAGCTTTTTCATTTGTGGCAAATTAGTACAGTCTCGATTAATACAGAAGTAAATTAAGATACTGGCTATGAAGGGAATTAAATGTGTATAAGAGCTAGCTATGTGATAGCTGAAATACAGGGTAGAGAAAGGGGTTCTGATTTTTTCAAATACCTGCATCTCCTTCTTTTACCTTCTTTAATGTATTTGGTTTTTAACAACTCTATTGATTTCCTGCCTGACGTAACAGACTTTTCAAGCAATAGAGGTTTTCATGTGAAAAGCTCACCTTAAGACATAGTAATTTCAAGCAACCACATTTAAGGTCCCTGGAAGGACCCTTATTCTCTTCAGAGCAGGGATCACGTTACATACTAGGCTTTTGAAAAGCAACAACACCACTGCCAAAGTGTCTCTACCCTTAGAGACTTCTCACGTATCGCGTAGCCTTTTTGCTGTCAAATTCCATTGGAGTGCAAATAGTTCTAGTCCCTGCTAGGGCTGATGTCACTGAACCGAGTGCATTTAGGATGCGCATCTCTATATTCCCTTCATTTGGAAACAGATGTATATATATAAAGAATGGATCAAAGGCATTTTTCTTCCTAAATAATTTGGATGTCTCTTTCCTCTGTTTTAGTCAAATGTATGAGAGTAGTTTATAAATTATTTGGGCTGGAGTTGCCAAACTTGGCTGTATATCTGAGTAGTCTGGATGGGAAGCCTTTGCAACTGATATTGTCCTCAAGCAGCTGATCATCAGAGCATTTCCTTCCCCTACCCAAACCAGCAAAATGACCACATCCAGCAGGCTTTGCAAAACCAAGGGCCTGATAATGGAATGGAACCCCCCAAAATTCTTCATGTTGCAAGCAGTGATGTCAGCACATCTGAAAGTTTTAACATCATGGATATGAAGTTTGCCTTCCTTGAGCAGAAAATAGATAAGCTGTTGACTCTGCAAGACAATGTCCTTAAGAAGCTTAACAGCGTTTCCCAAGAAATCTGTTGCATTGAAAAAGACATTAAGATTGTAAAGGCAGAAAGATCTGAACCTGGACCAAGGATGGAAAGAAACAAAAATCTGAGAAGTAATGAAATGAAGAGGCTTTGCGTTAAAATGCAAAAATCTCTTTCTGATATAAACAGGAATGCAGAGTGGCAGGTTAAAAGACTAGATGGACTGGAACAAAGTGTTTCTGGACTACAGAAGCTTGTAGGGCCTCTGGTTGAGAAGGTTAAAACATTAGTCATTCATAATTCAAGTGTAAAGCACCATGTTCAAAAACGTAAGCTTTGCAAGGCGGGTGATTATACAAAAGAAGCTGGACATCTTTTTAGCATGCAGATTTTCTCGAAGAAAACAGCTGATGCCCTGCTCAAGAAGAAAAGTGAAAAGGTGAGCCCAGGTTTGTGTTTTGTCTTGTCAGGAATCATTGCAAGCTACAGATATGTTCTGCTATATGCTTAGCTTTTTCATTTCATTAGCATTTAAGAGAGAACAACCAATATGCTCTAAAAATGAAAACTATTAGAACAAACTGAGCAAGTTCCAGTGGAAAAGATATAGAAAATCTACTGAGTGATAAATACCTTCATTTTTTTTCTAATTATTTCCTTGCAGTTGTAAAACATAACTAGGGTTCACTGCCATGGGTGACAAAGGTTGTCACAGACTTCAGGAGGCTTGGGTCCTGGCTACACATTTTACTGTGATCTTCTCTGGATTTATAATTAGCTGGGGGAATCAAGTTGTAGTAGTCATGTTATATGCAATGGGGTCTAGAGCTTAGCGAAACTGGTAAAAATCCTTTCTGGGTCAGGGCATGTACACATATATGTCCCTTATGTCAAAAAACAACTTAAGTGTGCTGTTCCAATCTGGTATTTCTGCTGACATCAGTGGGGAGAGGGGGACTTCTAAACTGGGATCTGAGGTAGGGTTACCGTAACTGGAGCTGTGGCTTGTGTAAACTTCCTCAGGGGAAAAAAATGCCTGTGTCACTGTAACGAGAGTTTTGTCATGTTCTTTACAGGTCAGATTAAAAGACCACAAAAATCTCTTGAAAGGCTCCGTTGATCATAATAGGCTTCTGTAAGGCAATTTAACTATTCTTTGTTTGGTAAAGAAGCCCAGTAGCATTAGAAAATTAAGGAATTCCTTCTGACAAAGTGCATTGATATTTAATTAACCTACAATGAACCAAAAAGGTTGCCTTTCATATTCTTTTCTGCTTTTGTTTTACCTTCAAAAAAGTCACATACAAGCTTTACTTTTTGATACATTTTAAGACTAATTCTTGAGGTTTTTTTTCTAAAGTTTTTGAGCAGGTGTGAAGGTGTTATTGGAAATGGCATTCCTTGAAAAAAGAAGCACCCACTATTACTCAGACTGGTCTTGTCAGCAAACCAGGTGCTTTTCAGTTTGGTTACTCTTAGGCAGCCTCATTTCTCAGGTAGGCAAGAAGCGTTTGAGCCATCGTAGGAAATTATAAAAATAGCATTCAGTGCTGAGTAGCAGCAGAGGAGCATCTTGTAAAGCTCTGTCAGCTGTACTGGCTGATCTGTCTCTATGTAATGATATAAAATGTGCAGCCTTGTTTCCAGAGCATCATTAACTGAAGGGAAAAGTTGCTGCCCTGCCAAAGGAGACCAATAATAAAAGTGGTTTTTACAGGCCCTTCTTGAACACCATGTTGGGCTGGTTTCAGTAAAGGATTTTTAACAAAAGAGAAGTTTTCTTCTTTTATACCATTACTTTGATGAGAAAAGATTAGTTATTTTGAGCATCTGAGTTTAGGGCTTCTTTTACTTTTAAAAATATCAATGAAAACATCTGTTGTAAAAGCCCCATTGTAGTGAGACCTACAGGCCATCTCTGCAGTGCTGTGATCACTGCAGTTTGTGGCAGAGCTCTACTTGTCTTGGTGAAATTACATATTCATCTAAAGTAGTTATAAATATAAACTGAATCAGGCCTGGGATGTTAATGAACTGGCAGCTCCTGGAGGCCCAGGTAGGTGCGAGGCTCTCTGCACTAAAAATACAACGTAAGAGAAAGGAGGGGACTGTGTGGGTTTTGCTGGTGAGTTTAGGGGAGCCAGTGGGTGTAGTGGAAGGGGCAGGTCAGAGGAGGTGGTCGTGCTCCTGGCAGGCCAGAGGGGAGCCAGGATAGCAGAGACGCAGATGCCTAGTGGAGAGGTCAAAGCTGCAAAGGGCCTGGAAGCAGAGGGTAGGGGGCTTGAACATGGTGGAAACAGAGGCAGCCTACTGACAAAGACCCAAAGAGGAGAGGGGTGAGCGGAGTCTCTGTCTTTTCCCAACAGCAGCTCCATTTTTAATCCCTTCACTGATTCATTTTTGTTTAGGCAGATTCTCGGCGATGCTGAGTGGACTTGGTAGGAGCTTGTGTAGCAGGAGGGCTTCGGCAAGGCGGCACGAGCATATCTGGAATCATGCTGGTGATATTATTACATCGTTAATATTTTGTTTGTTTTATGAGATAGCATACATATGTTAGCTTGTCATTACCTTCCTCTCTGTGTGTTTGATTTATTAGTAAAGCACCATCATAAAATTATCAAGCTATCCTGTGAACAACAGCTGGCTTTAGTAAACACTTAGTCATCTTGGGTTTAAGTAAAAACAGACTTGAATTCAGCCCTGCATTAAGAATAATAGAATATGGTATGATACCCTTTAGCAGAGACTGCTGAGCTTGGCTGTCAGTTTAGTAGGAGCCAGTATTAACCAGCATTCAGGGCAGACTCACCTCTGCCTGAGGGGTAGGAACAGCATCTCTGAGCAAGCTAGTGAAAAGACTGGTCCATGAGACACTGTGAAGTTGGTTGCATGTGGGTCTGCCTGCCACGTATTCAAGCTGGATTTACAAGTGAGGTTTTAAATTGCTGTGACAAAAGCAAAAAGAAAAGCAAAGGAATAGAGAAATAGGGGATCTCACCCTTGCAGAGTTCTACACCTGAAATGTGCCACTGATACCTGGTGGCATAGCAATGAACAAACCTACCTGATTATGCAGAAATCAATCCTTGCTTCTTTAAACACCGTCCTTATCACTTATCTAGTCCCCACCTGACGACAATTTTGAACAATGCTGATGCTGCAGAAGTGCTGCCTGCCAGGCAGTAAAACCAACATCTGTTTTATCCGAGGAGAACTCCGTATGGCAACACTGAGCAACTCTGCAATCACTTTAGACATACATAGTCCTATTCTGTTTCCTTATGGCTGTGAGCAAGGTCATCCATTCACTACAGCTAATTTGGAAGGACAGTATCCTCTTTTGTGTGCTGCTGGAGATGGTTGGGTATTTTGGATGATGTGCCTATTTGTCATCCACCCTGCCCTAACTACAAGCAAATGCTGCCTCTTAGTTCTAATGGCTGAGCTGTCTGACAAATACTTGGCTGTCCCCAGCCTGGTTCCGCAAAATAATGCAGTCATTCTTATTTACTAGTAGATGATGCCATAGGGGGCCATGGATGCATCTGGATAAGGCAGTGGATTTTGTTTACATACTGCTTAATCACCTGCCTTCCCATCCTTCCCTCTTTAGAGAGGTGCTGCTCTTTGCTTTATTAATTGTAGGATTGTTTTTAATTTTTTCCTAACTAGCTGGTTTTACCAACTTGATTAAGTAGAGAACAGTGGAAAAGGCAGAACAACAGGGATGGAAGAGGGGGAATGGGAGAGAGGTAAAGAGGGGATGATAAGCAGCTGGGTGTGTAATCTCTCTGCTGGCTTCACCAGCAGCTGGAACAGTTTCCAGATCATAGGCTCCACAGGGACTTTTTGTGCTCTGCAAAATACAGGGATCACTCTCCTATGAAGCAAAATTTCTGCTTTCCTGCCTTTTACTGCCATGCTGAAATACCTCCACTGCCTCATACAGGTTAGTTTATTTCTGGTTTGGGTTGGAGTTATAATATTGCGTAGCCTGTAGACACTTCATGCTTTGTCAGTGCTGCCAAATGTCTCCCGGCCGTTTTCCACCGAGTGCAGCATGACCCTATCACCACATGGCTGAGAGGAGTAGCATGTATTACTTGTCGTTTTAAGTTATTTTCTCACTACTACTGCCCAGGGAAATCAGCAGTTCTACAGCAAGGGTCTTTAAAAGTCTTGAGGTTTTCCTCAAATTCACCTTTTTAAGTAGGTTGTGATAATCCTGTTGCAAAATGACTCTGTAACTCAATTTTCAGTCTTATTCCTTGCACTTATAAAGAAAGGGAGTAAAATAATACTTCACTTATATCCTCCAAATTAAACAGTTTAGAGATTCTATACTATTAACCTGTGAATACTCACCGGGAGAGTCAGAAAATCCCTTTTGTTGCCATCGTAAAGCGGTGTTGAACTTTCTGCAGTTGCCTGCAGGTTGCTGTAACTTCAGTCTCCTGCCATTTCTACAGGCTTTGCCATAGGACTATTAACTATTACCAGTTTGAGGCTGTTTCCCACACTAAAAACACCCCAGCAGCAGGAGCTGGGCTTTCTCTTTGAACCCTCTGTCTCTCCCATGCAGGTATCACACTGCAATTGCAACTCACTGGCTGCTTTAGGAGTGAAATTGCTGTTTGCCATGTTGTGTTTTAAGATCCATTCAGCCTCAGTCTGTAACCCTTCTTCTGATTCCTTCATTTTGCCTACAAATACTAACGGGTCCCTTATGCATTATTTGAATTCTCTCCAGATTGGCCATGTTCTGTGTATTTTTCACATGCCAGCCAAATAGGCAGGAATTGTTTGATTTTCTTTTTTTTCATCTGTCTGCAAGAGTTTCTGCTGTCCTTGGTGGTTTGGAGGGTAGAGGCTTTCTGCAGAATCTCAGCAGATGGGTTGTCTGCTGCTTAGGCAATGCAGCCAGTTGGTGCCTTTGTCTGCTGTTATGCTTGGGAATGCTCTTCTTCCCCTCAGGACTGATGCCTTTGCCTAAATATGTCCTTGGTAGAGGTATTCCAGTAGTTGAGTAAGCTATAATATATTATTATTAAGTTAATATAAAGAGTTATAATTCTTTCTCTGACTTTCTCTGTCTATAAAACTGGTATGTTTTCTCCAGACAAGATATTTTCATCTTGTTTTTCCCCATTTTCCCCCTTACTGGTAGCCATAGGTGTTTCATACCCTTCCAATTCAGAATGCTGTTTAATTTTGCTTTCATTTAGCCTCTGAAATTGCTGTCTGCTCTACAATATTCCCTGGGTATGATTCTGCCCAGGGCACTGTTGTGGTTTTTCTCTCTCTACAACTCTGAGGAATGTGTGGAATCAAATCAGGCACAGATGATTTCTAAATACCTGCACGCCACTTCAGATGGCTTATGGCCTTAACGCCTGCATGTTACAGCTGTTTTAGGAATCCGTTAGAATTTCTTTG